ATCTACTGAATTCATACATTCATTCAAAACATATTCACTAAACATTTATGTGCCAGGTGTTAGGTTAAGCCCTCCAACGCCATCCTCCCCCAGCCCCTACCATACACACAATAGCCACATACAGCAAGAAGACCTATACAGGTTTGAGGGCTGGTGGGTGAGTTCCCAGACAGCCCTCAGGTTGTATTTCCACAACCTGCCTTCCCAGAGGCAGGTGAACAAGATGCCATTCAGGACCTAGGTAGTTTAGGTTCAGTCTGAGGAGCCAGTCTTTCCAGCCCAGACCAGGTTTCCATCCAGGCTCCATTGCGTACCAGCTGTGTGACCTTCAACTTCTCACCATGGGGTTTCAGGGCCTGAGAAGACTGGACCCTACACCCAATGCTTAATTCCTGGACATGGTCTTCTAATTCCTACAGGTAGGGCACAGCTTCATTCTATTTTACAGAGGAAGAAACAGATGCAGAGGGAATTGCAGGGCCGGGACTGCGGTGAGGCACCCAGGGCTCAAACTATGAGAAGGCATTCTCCTGGAGGGGCTATCTGCACCTGTGCCCACCCGAGAGTGAGTGCCTGTTACATGGTGAGCCCTGGGAACCAGTTTGCCTCCTCCTAGCACTGGGCCGTGGTGAGTGGCTAAGTGGTAGCATTAAGATTTGAATTCAGGTCTTCTGATAAACCCAGTGCTCATTCTGTGACAGTTCATTTGTTCTCTCATTCATTCACTCAGCAAACATGTAGTGAGCCCCTACTATGCACAAGGCATGTGCTAGGCTCAGGGGCACACCAGGCACTTCTGAAGGACAGGGACTTGGTTTTCCTGCCTCAGTTTCTTCGTCTGTAATATGCAGGTTGTTGTAAGGATCTGGTCGACTCGGGCCAAGCCAGCATGCTCACTCTGGAGGCAGAAATGGTCACCAAGAGGGGCCCAGCCCACCCCGGCCTGTCCCCTGCTTCATCCAGAGCTGCCCCAACCTACCTTTCTTGGCCCAGGAGGCTGCCTGGATGCTTATTTGGTTATTAGATAACCAGGCCTGGGCACCATTTCTTTGATCAGATACCCCTGATAACAAGCAGAGGAACCAGACCATTTTATCGCATGATTTTGTGGGGTGATCTTATCATCCCATGGTGTTTTAACAGGGACAAGGATGAAGAGGTAGGCATTTGGAGGGGAGAGGGAAGGAATAGAGGCCCTGCTCTGCAATACTTTCCTCCTGATTCCTTCCGGACTTTGGTTCTGGGGGAAGAGGTGGTGTGGGAGATAAACATGGAGCAAGAAGGCTGGCTCTCACTCATGGACATCTGACTCAAGGACGCTTCCCTCACACCCAGCAAGATCCCCTGAATCCTCCCAAAACCTCAGCCCCAGCAGCTCTGACCTCCTAGGGAGGGCCCCTGCAGTTAACGGCCCAGAAAAGCCCAGCTACAGAGGCCAAGATGCAGTAATGCCCACAGATGTGACTCACGGCCAACACAGAGCTGGGGCTTCTCCCCAAAACAGCTTTATGATTGCTACCATTTCAAAAGTTCTCAAGTGATTATTTGGTAAGAAAGAGGTCAGGAACCAAGCATATATCACCCTTCCTTGAGCAAAATGCAAGATCTGGACAACATAACTTTTTCCTTTTTTTGATTAAAAATAAATTTATGTTTGAAGACAACAAATGAGTTTTAGCTTCGGTTCCTTCTTTTGCTCTTGTTTGATCTCCTTGTGAGTTGAGGAGAGCCTTGTTCAAACAGTATTTGTCCACTTTCTTTGCTTTTTTCTATTTGTGGGGTGAAATCTGTGTTACCTCGACAGGGGCAGCTCACCTGCATTGTGCTTCTGTTTCCTCACCTGGAAAGTGAGGAGCGCTGGACCCGTCAGCCTCCAGTGCCCTTTACAGCTGCCCACATCCTCCCAAGTGTTGCCCCATTGCAAGGGTGAGAACGCAGCAGGTGCAGGGCCCACCTGTAACTCTCAGCCTCAACAGTTGGGGTTTAGCTAGGATCTAGAAAAAGCACTTTTTGTGTGTGTGTGCGACAAGGTCTTGCTCTGTCGCCCAGGCTGGAGTGCAGTGGCACAATCATAGGTCACTGCAGCCTCGACCACCCAGGCTCAAGAGATCCTCCCACCTCAGCCTCCCTAGTAGCTGAGACTACAGGCCTGTGCCACTACACCTGGAGAATTTTTGTATTTTTTTGTAGAGATGGTGTTCTGCCGTGTTGCCCAGGCTGGATACAAAAAGTACTTTGGGGTTATGTTTCCCCCATTATTCACACACCTCTTTGAAGAGAAGCTGTTATTTTAAAACAGGCCTTTTCTTTTGGGGTCCTCAGATTCAGAAAGGAGTAGACAACCCAGTGAGACAGGACGTGTTCTGGAGACACAGCACGGTGGTCGGAAGCAGGGACCTGGGGGTTCTGCCACCTTCCAGCTGCCTGGCCTCAGGACAGTGGCCCAAATCCTCTGAACTCAGTTGCCCCAGTTTGTAAAATGGCCTGACCATAATTCCTACTTCTTGTCAATTTGCTCAGATATAAAGTACATGCATACAAAGTACTCAACCCAGCTAGCGCCCGGCCCATGCCACAGTCTCAATAATTATCAGCAAATCCTCTCATTTATAAATAAGCCAATACAACTATTAATGCATAAGCACCACACTTTGTGGAAAAGTTCGTACCTCTAATAGCAGTACAATAAGTTCTGAAAATACTGAATTATGACCCTTCGTAGGACATCAGTGTAACACCCATCCTCCCCGCGAAAAGCCGCTATGCTTGAACCCCCATCAGCCATCTGGGACTTTGAAACACCCACATCCAGAAAGCCCAGAGACTGAAGTCTCAAATGATTATGGCCAGAATAGCATGTAGTTTTAATTTTTTTTTTTTTTTTTTTTTTTTTTTGATATGGAGTTTCACTCTTGTCATCCAGGCTGGAGTACAATGGCACAATCTTGGCTCACTGCAACCTCCACCTCCCAGATTCAAGTGATTCTCCTGCCTCAGCCTCTGGAGTAGCTAGGATTACAGACGCCTGCCACCACACCCAGCTAATTTTTGTATTTTTAGTAGAGGCGGGGTTTCACCATGTTGGCCAGGCTGGTCTTGAACTGCTGACCTCACGTGATGCACCCGCCTGGCTCTCCCAAAGTGCTGGGATTACAGGTGTGTGCCACGGCACCCGGCCTTAGCATGCAGTTTTTAAACTACCCATAATTGTAAATTTTGTACATTGAAAGACAGATAATTGAACAAATAATCACAATTATGCAATTATAAATAATCACCCTGCACAATTCTCCTCTTGCCCACAAAGTTATCCCTTTCATAAGAATTTAACATGTGGCCTGTAGCCATTGTCTGCCAGGGAAAGCTCATACCGATTTCGGTTTCAGAAAGGCCACCTCGCGTCTCATAGAAACCAGAAAAAAAAATGTCATTTTCAGGAAGCAAATTGATCGTTTTCCTCACATTTCCATTTGCATAAGGTTGTGCTGTGGCCTTGTTCTAGACTTTTTCCTATTCCCTGTTGCCTCTGGAGAGGAGGAAAGCTAAGGAAGCTCGTGGGCCCGCGGTCCCTGGGTGGACTGAAGGGCTCTTGTAGCTCCTGGAAGCCTCACCCAAGTTTCTGGTAAGAAATCAAAAGGTGAGGTGGTGTCCCCTGGTCCTCTGTGGGATGATCAGCTCACAAAAGTGGGACATATGAGTCTATCAAATGCTTCAGAGGGGCAGGTGGACTGCTCACTGGTGAGCCCCGGGAAACGGGCCTGACCCAGTTCTCCAACCCTTTCCCCAAGGAGGCCACATCTCTGTCTTCTCTCTTCTCTCTTGTCTATTCTCTCTTCTCTTCCCTCTGTTTCTCTCTCTCAATCTCTCTCTCCCCCCCCCCCCCCGCTTCCTGGTTCTCTTTTTACTTCTCTTGATTTCACTCCCTCCTTCCTTTTCCCTCTCTCTTCCCTCCCCTTACTCTCTCTGCCTTTTTCCCCTTTCCCCACTTCCAATTCTCTGTCTCTTTCTTTCTCTCCCTCTCTCAGGTCTCTCTTCTCTGTCTCTCTTCATCCTCTCTTTAACCTCTCTCTCCTCTTACTTTCTTTCCCTTTTTCCTTTTTCTTTCCATCTCTTCCTCTCCGTCTCTGGGTTTATGGCAAGGCAAGGAAACCCGCACATCCCCAGCCCGCAGCCTCGCCCCCTCGGTCCCACTTCTGTTACCCGGTGATCCATGCAGGTGGGAACAATCCAGTTAACTTTTCCCATCCGAGTGATTCTCTTTCTCTTCTTCATTCATAAATCCCATAACTCTCCCTGTCCTCCTTTCCAAGGCGCGTGCACTTAACTTCAAGGCTTGCCTGCCATCCAGGGTGCCGCCAGAGTCCCAGTGCCTGGGGTGGGGGCCGGAGTGGACCCATTGGGGTCCCCCAGCCTGTCCTCCGCCTCACGGCTGCCTTGCCTCTGAGCTGCCACCCTCAGCTGACTCACTCAGATGAGATTTGGGGAGTGGGGGGGGGAGCAGGAGGAGGAGTTGGGAGGAGGAGGAAAACCCGCCTGGTCGGCTCCACACTTCGCCTGGATGCGTTTGGGTGTGGTGGGGAGGGGTTGAGGGCCTCATTTACAGACAGAGGCCGTGGCTGGCTTCTAAGCGACCGGGTTGGCCACTTTCACTGAGCTTCTGGGTTTGCTGGGATCCAAGTTGACGCGACTTTTCCAGGAGTATCTGAAAGACGTGAATAGAAACTTCAGGGGTCCCAGGGCTTGAGGGGCTAAGGGGAACCCCCCGCCTCGCTTGACCTTCCAGGGAATGGCCTGGCTAGGGGTGCGCTTTGACGCAAGGAGCGCATCGCTCTGGCTTGGCCGGGACCAGAGTTTGGGGAAGGCCTCCTTGCCCACTGCGAAGACAGGCAACTGCCAGGGGACAGACATCTGGGGGAGTGCTGGGGGTCTGAATGGTGGAAAGAGCTGCACCAGGGGCTGTGCGCCCTGCGCGGGTGTGAGAGCCTCGCCGGGGGCTGTCTCCACCTCTTCTGGAGAGTTGGACCTATGAGTGAGCAGCTCCGCTTACAACTATCAACAGCCGGGGAGGCCGAGCGCGTGTGAGCGCCGAGGGGGGCGCAGGACCCTTGCAACTTCTTCTCAGGACCCCAGCCTGGACGCCGGCGCCCGCTGCCGTCCGAGAGCCCAGCGCCCACGCCTCCCCTTGCGCACCTTGAGGGTGCCCAGCGGGCTGTCCTGCTAGCCCCGCCGGGATGCTCGCAGCCATGCTCCCCTACGTTTGCGTCCTGGTGCTTTTCGGAGGTAGGTGCCACCCTCCCCCATCCGGCAAACTGGCTGAGGTCGGAAGGGAGGGAGCTCGCCGTCTGATGTCCCCTAAGGGCCCTTGGGGACTACGGCCCTGGGCAGGCGCACGCGGCCGCTGTGCTGCGCCCTGCGCGCCCTTCTCCAGTCTCACCTGGCCGGCACCTGCGCGCCTCCAGGCGCTTCCTGGGCCCTGCGGAAGGGAGTCGCGTCACCGCACCATGTGAGCGCCCCTGTACTCTCTGCGCCAGTCGGAGCCTGGCCTGTAGGTACCCAGAGCTGCCCTTTGTGCTGGACCCAGTGGGACCGGGGCCTCCAAGAAGATACAGGAGGATCCCAGACCCACCTGAGCCCCCCGTGGTACGGGACAGGCCCGGTCACTCAGACCAAGGATGCTGAGGTTCTTCGTGCTCACGGAATCCTGACCTGTGCAGGGTCGGGGCTTCGTCCTGCAGCAGGACTTGGGGAGAAGCTAGGGAGTGCTCAGTGGCCCCAGGCTCGAGTTGTGCCCAGCGGGCCTGACAAAGGGGACCAAGGGGCTTCAGGAACCCCTGGTAGAGGAGGCAGTGCCTTCTCCAGGACTAAGGGGTTCCTGGTGGCTCTTCGTGGGGGTGGGGAGTAGGGTAGACAAAACTGTACAAAGGCCAGCTGACTGGAGTGTGCCATCACAGGGGCCAGTCACCACTGACAAAAATGACAGTAACCACAGTTGAAGTGTGCCCAGCTGGGGGCTCATCCCCAAGCACCCTTACATTATGAAAGGCTAAGAATTCTGGCCCTGGGCTTAGACCACCTGGTTGGGAAGCCCAGATCAACATGGTATCAACCCGTCTGGCCTTGGGTAAGCATGGCCATCTGCTCTCTCAGTCTTGACTTTCTCTCCTGTCAAATGGGCTCACAAAATCCCCTCCTCCGTCTGGGATGGTTGTGAAGATTACGAGAGCACGTGCAGGAAGAGCACTCCACTTGCGGCCTGGCCCTGAGCTAGCGTTCAGGGAATGGCAGCCGAGAACCCCGGGGTAATGAGGGGCTGCGCGGTCCCACCGAGCACAGGCAAGGAGCAAAGTCTAAGTTACCTCGAGGAGCTCTTCAATCACAGTCTTTTCTTCCCAGCCCCCATATTTCTAGGCAAGCTGTTTTGGGAAGAGCTGGCAAGGGTGTGAATGAGGGTCGAGGGAGGGTCGAGGGAGGGCGCCTCCGCAGTTTGAAGAGTTGCAGATGCACATGTGGAAAGGGACATTCATCCAGAGGCCGCTTCCCCTGGCAGCCTGGGAGCGAGAGGTCACACAGCTGCCCTTGGCCACAGAGTTGATCACGAGCATGAAAAGAGACCACCTCAGCCCTGCTGCTTCTTTAGAAAGGGCAGGAAAATGTGAACTGGCAACGGTGAAAGGGGGCCAGGAGTGGAAGCGCGCCTCTGCTGGGTGCTGAGATAGGGAGGACAGGATGGGGAAACCGGGTGTCCATCTGCCCTCATCCACCTCTTCCAGGCCGTTGCACCCAGTGGGAATGGGACAGTCTAGAGTGGTAGGACACATGCCCCAGGAGCCTGCAGTCTCAGTCACAGCACAGGACTGTTGTCTTTGGCAGGCCCGAGCTTCCCGTCATGCCAATAAAATCACTGTGAGTGTAGAACCGTGGCTGGCGCCTGGGGAGTCCTGCTGCCCAGCTCCTTGGTGACCTTTCACCACAGCAAGTGAGACAGATTCAACAGCAGAGAAGCCAAGAGTGTTCCGGGGGGCTGACGAGAGAGGGGGGCATCCTGCTCCAGGGTCCACCTGCCCTCAATTCCGACACAGCCGCCAGAAAGGGGGAGGATGCCGTTCAGCCTGCCGCTGCAGCTCCCAGCTCTACCCCGGGCACTCTTTTCCACTGAACGCTTCTTTCAAAAGCTCTTTTCACCGCTGGCTGCATCACCAGGTGATGAGACCCTTTGCTTTAGTAAAAGGAAACGGGACCCAGTTGATCCTTCAGCTACTTACATAATTTAGGTGCCTGAGCTGGGCAGGCCTGAACTTCATGTCTCCAGGTTCCAGAAACTATATATATAATGGCACACCAGCCACCCCACCAAAGGAATTCAGATTGAGTACACACATGTTAGGGGTTCCTAACCTTACCGCTATTGACATTTGGCACTAGATGATTCTTTGTTGGGGGTGAGGGGCCCGTCCTGTGCATTTTGGGGTGCTTAGCAACATCCCTGCCCTCTTCCTACAGATGCCAGTAGCACCTCCTCCTAGTTATAACTGAAAAAATCTCCAGATATGGCCACATGTCTCCAGGGGATAAATTGGCTCCCCATTTGAGAATCACTGGTATGAACAGATCAAACCCAACGGGTAGCTTTTCAGATGAATCTGTCCAAATCACTGGGTTAGACGGATTTTGTTATTCTTGCTCTGAATGATCAGGAAATCAAAGGCACAGTGGGGCCCCAAGAAAAACAGCATGGCTTAGGTAGTTTCTAATTTGGACGTTGATTTTTCCCATTTGCTCTCCCTCCCTCTTGTATCCGAACATGTCTGCATGGCGGCTGCAGGAGCCCGGCTGCGGTACGGGTAGTCACCCACTGCAGCGAGCCTTCCTTCAAACCCTGTCAGGCCAGATGTGTCTGGTGCCAGTTCTCCAGCTGCCAGCAATGGTTCACGCCACAGCAATTTCTGGCTTTTAAAAATCTCATTACTCAACAATTTGTGCTGGAGGGGGAAAATGAGAAACCATAGCTTCTCCTTTTTTTCTCGCACTTGTATTTTTTTTCTAATTTCAGCTCTGCTTTTATCTCTTGCCATATACTTTGCGATGGCAAGTTATCATTTAGAGTCAGATTAACTAGGTCAAAATCACAGGCTATTCCATAATAAATTAGTTGTTGACGTGGAGCTCTGTTTTGAAACCCAGAATAAAAACTAAAGAAAATTACTTAAATACACTCATCCAAAAATCTAATGTGAATAGAAACCCGTAATCGTATTAGTTATTTAAAACAAACAAAAAAAATTATCAGTGGAGACTTCCTCTTGCTGCTTTGCGATGTGCTCCTCAAAGACGAATCACTGTGGCCAGCTGTGTCACTCATCTTCTGACCAAGGCTGTGATCGCAAAATTCAAAACAACCAGCTCCAGGCAAATATAGCAGCTTCCTTGATTTCAAAACCATCTGGATGGCAAAGCAGTTAGAAGCTACATGTGAAGAAATATTTTTGCAGCGTATTGGAAGTTAACTGTGCTAATGAAAGCTTAAAGCCAGAATGAGCCCCTGATAAAACTTCCAAGATACAGTGGTTCATGCCAAAACCAGCCTGGAAAATGAAGATCAATAGCTCAACGTGAAGGGAAGGAGAAGCCATTAAAATTGGTCTGAGTTTGAGGGCAGCTAGGCTGAGTTGGGGGACTCTTGAGAAGGAAGTGAATTCTGAAGTTGGCACGGAGGGTGGTTTTGGAATTAGACAGACCTGGGTCCTACCTTGGCTTTGTTACCTTCCTGTTCTGTCACCTGGATCCACGAAGCCTCCCTGAGCATGTGACCCAATCAGTGTGTTGGGAATGGTGATAACTGTGACCTCAGGGAGTGCTGGAAGTGTTCAATGAGATGGTATATGGCCAGGACTTAGCACTGAGAACCTGGTGAACCCTCTGTGCTGTCCCTGCAGGGAGTCAGATACTGCCCTAAAGTCCCCAGACATGGGGAAGAAAGAGCCAGGGCCCCTGCTCTCAGGAAGTTGCCATTTCAGCTTCAGCTTGTACACATCACTTAGCATCTGTCTCCTTTTGGCAGGTGCTGTATTTTCTTCCCCATGAGAACACCTTGACTATCATAATGATATCAACAGCAATAAAATTAATAATTGTTTGGGTTTAACCCCGACACCATGCAGGGCCAGGCTCCATCCTTCTTGCTGCTGTCTCCTGTCATTCTGCCCCAGCCCTGTAGCCAGTGCTACCATCATCAGTTTCCTTATCTGCAGAGTGGGGGTGTTGACAGCGCTCACTGCTGGAGTAGGGTGAGCTTGCTAAGAGGAAGAATTGGGCTGGGCATGGTGGCTCATGCCTTTAATCCCAGCACTTTGGGAGGCCGAGGTGGGCAGATCACCTGAGATCAGGAGTTTAAGACTAGCCTGACCAACATGGTGAAACCCTGTCTCTACTAAAAATAAAAAATTAGGTGGGTGTGGTGGCAGGCACCTGTAATCCCAGCTACTTGGGAGGCTGAGGCAGGATAATTGCTTGAACCCGGGAGGAGGAGGTTGCAGTGAGCCAAGATTGCACCACTGCACTTCAGCCTGGGCAACAGAGCCAGACCAAAAAAAAAAAAAAAAGAATTGTCTAGCAGAGAGGCACTGACAGAGTCTCAATTCAGTGGACGTGTATTGTGTGCCTTCCTGTGTACGTGCCACTCACTGGTGTGAGATGCAGAAGACAGAAGGACAAATCAGACAGCTCCCCACCTTCATGGAAAATGGGCAACTCAATCTTAAATGAGCAACTAATTACAAGACTGATGAGCACGTTCCCAAGCAGTTTTAGGGGTGTCGAGCCCAGGCTGGGAGGTTCAAGAAGGCCTCCCTAGAAAGGTGATATGTAACTTAGAACTTGAAAAAAGGGGAGGGGCTAAGTGAATGAGGAGGGGGCAGAACAGACAGAATTCCCAGCAGAAGGACTAGTATGTGCAAAGCTTAGATGCAAAAGAAAAGACAGTGAGGGACCAAGTGGTGGACAGTGGACAAGGTCAGGGGTTGGCAGGGGGTGGTTCCTGGAGGGTTGTGGGGCCTCAGAAAATAGTTGGACTTTATATCAAGAGCAATGGAGTGTTCACTGAAGGATTTAAAGCAGGGTAAGAATGAGATGCCTCTAGAAGTGAATTCCCCATCACTAGAGGCATCCAAGAACTAGCTGGATGATGTGAGTAGCACTGGCTAGGAGTTGACCTGGATTTGCTTCCAGCCCTGAAAATGTCTAACTGTAAGCCAGCACATATGCTATCAACAGCTGTTTCGGTC